TCAGAAGCTGGCCTCTGTGGATTTTCTTTGCCGGTTCTTTCACTTCTTGCAGATTACAGCAATGCCGTGTAAGCGTCACGCGGAGCTCAGACATCTCAGGGAGCGCAGCTTCCCCGCACCGGCGCTCCCAGGACGGGGGCGCGGCGTGCACCTGCTCCAGACGTTCTCATGGGGGCTGCTGTCGGTCGGTCCTCCGCACGAAGGCCCCGTGCGGCCCAGTGTCCTCCGCACGACCTTTTCCCCTCTCGCGCCGGGTCTTGGGAGCCTTTCCGCGTCGCCACACCGCAGGGGCCGCACGAGTGTTTTGTGAGTTCCCTCCTGGGCGGCATCCGAGCCCTTTCCGGTGTCCTCCTCTCAGGGGCCGCACCGCGGTGGTCTCGCGTTCCGAGTCATCTGCGCATCTTACGCCGAGGCAGTGAATTTCTCAGATTTGGTTATTTTGTTTAAGGTACGCTGTTCGGGGTGCCTGGGGGGCTCAGTTGGTTGAGCATCTGACTTTTTTTGTGTGTGTTTATTCATTTCTGAGAGGGTGGGGGAGGGTGGGGCAGAGGGATGGAACCCCAAGCAGGCTCCACACTGTCGGCACGGAGTCTGATGCAGGACTCGAACTCGTGAACCGGAGCCGAAGTCAGACGCTTCTCTGACTGAGTCGTCCAGTGCCCCGGTTGAGCATCTGACTCTTGATTTCAGCTCAGGTCATGATCCCAGGGTCGTGAGATCGAGCCCCACGTCAGGCCCCGTGCTGACCGTGGAACCTGCCTAAGATTCCCTCTCTGCCTCTCTCTCTGCTCCTCTCCTGCTTGAGTGCACACCATCTCTCTCTCTAAAAAAAAAAGTGAAATAAAATAGGCTCTTTAAGAGTCACGAGCCACAAGATTTTAAGAACAGTGATGAAAACAGGAACTGTTACCGACGCTCACACCAGGCGTCTGAGGGCTGGACGCGCGTCTGCCCTTCGTGTCCACCATGACGCTGGGAGACCCAGGCGCTGCCGTCCCCGCTCACAGATCGGAAACCGAGGCCCAGCAGACTGTGTACGGCGGGCGAGCATGGTGTTTGGCTGGTGCCCGCAGGGATGGTGCCGGCACTAACTGATTTCCGTTAAGCTTTCTAAAAGCCGGTTTTTATCCGGGGAGGACGTGAGGTGGCAGACGAACTGAAGCGTTCCGCACGTGGTGACAGGAGCACTGGCCTGGCCTGGCCCACCGCGGTGGCACCGTCGTGGCCGTCCTGCCCCCACCCCGAGCGCCCTGCCGGTTTGCTTACCTCTGCGTGGTGCGCGACGCAGCTCTCTTGGCTTCTCGGGTTTCGGCGTGTGCCGCATTGACCTCCTAGCTGGAAATCGGGGTTCTGTCCTGCCTGCCCGCCCCGTGCTCCCGAGAAGATGACACCAGGACTGTGGGTGCAGTGGGCAGCGGTGCTTTCCGAGTGGGCCGGTGGCAGCTCCAGCCCCCACCGTGCCCTGTCTGGACGTTGGCGGTTCTGCCGGGAGTTTGTGTCTGGTGTTGTCTCCACGTCCCTGTGCCCAGCACGGCCACCCTCTGCCCCGCACGGCCCTCACACCTGCCGGGTTCTTCCTCAGGAGCCCGGGCTCCCTCTGCCTGGACCCAGCCTGGGGCACCTCTGACCTTGACTCCCTGTGCCCAGCAGTTCTCCCCAACCTGCTCCTTGGTTTTAGTGGAGAACGTCCCCCGGTTGCTTCCGGGGAAGGGGTACAGGACAAGTAAATGTAGGAAATCATCGTTTTTCTTGGTTGCGCTACGTGGAGAATTCTCAGTGGGACACATTCTTCCCTCGGAATTTAAAGTCATTTTCTGGCTTTGAGTGTCGCTGTTAACGAGTCCGGTGCCCCTCTGGATGCTGACCCTTTTAGACCTGACGTTTGCCCTCTGAGCGCAAGAGTCCGTGGGTCCGTGACGACCTTACTGTTTCCAGGGGGCCTCCGCTTGTGTCCTTACCCCCTCTCCCGCCTCTCCCGCCAGCTTCCTGGAAGGCTCTCCCCTCCCATCCTTTATTGAACTTCCTTTTATCCTCTTTTTAAGATTTTAAGAGCATTTCCTTGCCCCTCGAAAGTGCCTTAGCAGCCTTCCCACCGCTCGTAAATGTGGTCTGTGCGTTTCTGGGGATGAGGTCAAGGCCTCACTCCACATCCTTCCATGTGCGGACATCCTGGGCTGACCTCCTGTCCGATTGGTCTTTCTCAGCTTGAATTCTTACCGCCACAGTAAGATGCATTTTCCCATCAGGCTGTTCCTTTTTTTTTTTGCAGTGTTTGTAAACATAGGACGCAGTGTCATCGGCATTTGTGACCTGTGTGGTCACAGAGGTCCCCAGGCCTGGGCTGTCAGAGCCAGTCTGGGTTTGCCCTGGCGAGACAGTGGCCCCAGTCCAGGGTGGCCGCCACTCAGCACCTTAAGTCTCTCTCGCCTGAAACAAAAATGTGACTCAGGAGCACTTTTCCCATAAGAGGGGGGTCGGTGAGCAGTGGACTGAAATGCACGTTCAGCTTCATTTCCACCTTTAATCTCGGGAACAACAGACACTTGTTTTACGTGACGCCTGGTAGGTCACGGCTGCTGGGACTCCGCTGCTGCTCTCCGGTGCTCAAATTCAGATGTCCCAGGTTCCTGGGCAGTTGGGGACACCCCCGCACCCCACCAAGGGAGCAGTTCTTTGCTGAAGTCTGGCATCCGAGGAGGGCCCCACCGTGTCCTCTCTGTCCCGTCCCCTCTAGAGATACACAAGTGCGTTTATACTTTAAGAACTTTTTCCAGGGCCCCTGGCTGGCTCAGTCGTAGAGCACACGACTCTTGATCTGGGGGTCATGAGTTCAAGTCCCATGTTGGGCCTGGAGCCTACTTAAAAAAGAAGAAAAAGAAGAAGAATGCTTTCCAGATTTTGCTAGTAGTCAGGGAGATTTTCAGTGGGGTAGGCTCCAGCTCTGGTACGGGGCTCTGAATGTCTGGGTGGGTTTCCCCAGGGCGGGAGCCTTGCTTTAAGCCCAGGCCCCCACCCTACACCTGCCCCTCTGAGGCCTATCCTTGAACTGGACTTTGCTCTGCCTGAGGCCTCCCTAGGCTCACGTGGCCTCTCTCTGTCGTCCTTCCCTTCAGATGGCGGTGTGCGATCAGGGCGGCCGGGTACCAGGCACGGCCCTCTCGGCCGAGGCGGCCTGCGGGGACAGCTGATTGGGGCTCACGGAGAAGCTAGCTGCTCTGAGGCCGCAGGGCTGTGCACACAAACACACGTCCGCCTGGGACGGGCCTGCTGGGCAGCTCTGGGCCAAAACCTGCCCCTCTGCGTGCCCCCAGGAGCGCCGGCCAGCACGAGCCGCCGGGCGCCGTAGAAAGTGCTACGGGGCCACCCCGCTTCTCCTTTCTGTGAGCCTGCTTTTGCTACCCTATACGTCGCTTCCATTTGCAATCATTCTTTGGTGAATGACAGCCTTTTCTCTGAGTTCAGTGAGTTCAATGCAAGTTTTCTACAGTCTTTTACAAAACGGTGACTTGGGACGGGCGGCGGGAGCCCCTGTGCCTAAGCCCACGGGCCGCTGTGTGTCCTCTCCGCTGTGAGGGCAGCACGCGGTTATGGGTCCACCAGCCACCCGGTCGGGTGTGAATCTGTGTCCGGGAGGTATGTTTCCAGATCCCGTCCCTCGTGCTCTGGAGGAAGATGCACCGTTTGGCTTTATTTGCGTTCAGGTCCAGACGGGGCGTGGAGTGTGTCTGGGAATGACGCAGGGTTGATGGGGCTGCCTTTGGCGGGTGCCTTCTGTGCTGCCGCACCGTTTGGCAGAGGGCAGGGCAGAACCTTCGGGAAAAGTCCTCACGTCAGGGTTGCGTGACCGCTGAACCACCGCCTGGTGCCACGTGGGGTGACTGTATTTGAGCAGCTGGGTTTCGAGTATGTGAACGTGGCACCAGTGACATCCTTTGTCTTCCCCTCATGCCTCATGTTGTAAGTTTGGGGTTTGTGTATTCGGTTCCAAATTCAATTAAGAAAAAGTTGCTTTTTTTTTAATTGTTTCCTGCCTTTACCAAAGGGAGACAGACCCGTAAGCCAGTGGTTGCTGTCCTGGGCCGGGGGGAGGAGGAAGGTTCTGGACACTGAGGGGCAGGACACTCGGGCAGGGAAATGGGGCAGAGCACATGGTGTGTGTTCAGAAAACTGGGGCCTTCTGGATGGTTCCTACTGGGGTACTGGCTTTGCAGGAGCTCTCCTGAAACCGGGGGCCCGTCCGTGGTCTGGTCAGGTCCCAGCAGGGGCACCTTTACCTGGGCTTGTCACCCACTCCCAGTGTCATTTGTTGCCTCTGAAAATTTTATAACAGAACTGGTTTTCAAAATGAGAATGTTGTTGTAGTTTGATAACCAAAGTCCACCTTGTTCATGAGAGCACTAGACCAGAGCCCGCCGGTGAGCCGGGCCGGATGGGCTCCAGCAAGGAAGCGGCCGGGGGCCCTGCAAGCCACTCGGGACCCGCCAGGAACGAGAGTGGCCTTGGGCCATAGGTGGTTCCACTCACAGCCAACATGAGTGACAGAGGTCGAAGCCGTGGCCGTGGCTCCGGAGGAACTGGGGAGGGCCCGACCGAGAGGTGCTCACGCCCTCTCTGAACGCCACGGCTCCCCAGCCTTTGCCCACAGCGCCCTCGTGTGGGCCCGTGAGCGCCCGACAGCAGCCACGGGCAGGGTCAGCCCGGCTGTCTGCAGTGGGGACGGGGGCCACCCGGTGGCCGTCCCGGAAACCTGCCCATCAGGGCCCACAGCTGCCCACCGCAAGCAGAAACTGCTGCTACGCTGGCTGTGCGTGGACACGAACTGTCTCTGGTCACACTTGGTCCAGCCTTTATCAAAGGGGAGGTGCTGTGTCACATGACGTAGAGAAGAAGGGGGTCAGAGTTTCTGTCCCCCTGCATCACCCAGGTAGGTCCTGAGATCCTGCACCTCCAGCCGTCCTTTTCGGGGTCAAGAACTTAGGACGTGTCATTTCTCTCCGCAGCGTTCCCAACTCCTGCCCGGCCAGTCCACGCGGAGCGGGGTCCTCCGGCTACCGCTTTGTTCAGAACGTGACCTCAGACCTGCAGCTGGCCGCAGAGTTTGCCGCGAAGGCCGCCTCAGAGCAGCAGGCGGACGCGTCCGGAGGGGACAGCCCTAAGGTCTCGGGACTCACGGCGCATGTGGCCACGCGGCGGCCGGGCGCGGGGCACGGAGCGGGCGCGGAGGCGCCGGCGTGAAAGCGAGGCGCCCCCGGGGGGGACGGGACGCTGCGGGAATAGCCCGCTTGCTGGCGGCACGTTTGGGCACCGTGGGAGCTGCTCTCTCCCGCCCTGCACCCCCTTACTCTTCACCCTCGTCCCATCTGCCCGTGACGGGATGGATTCGGGGTGTTAACTTAATTAGTCTTTGAGGAAAAATGACAAGTTTTTCCTTACAGCTGTGTATCTTGGCTCATTCCCGTCTGATAGCTGTTTTGAAATCCTTTTGTAGAGGAAGTGAGAGATTTCTGCGTCTTCCCTGCGTGGGGCAGGCGCGGGCACTGCTCGCTCGTCGGGGAAGTGGGTGGCGGTCGCTGGGACGGGGCTAGGCGGGCACGCCGTAGCCGTGGGTCCGTGTGGGAAGGGCGCCCTGCCGGAGGGGCCGTGGGCGGCCGGGGCGTGGACGCCCTTCTGGAGCCGCCGACGCGCTGACCACGTGCTGCCTGTCTCCTCAGGACGAGTCGAAGCCGCCGTACTCCTATGCTCAGCTGATCGTGCAGGCCATCTCGTCCGCGCAGGACAGGCAGCTAACACTAAGCGGCATCTACGCCCACATCACCAAGCATTACCCTTACTACCGGACGGCTGACAAAGGCTGGCAGGTGAGGCCTCGAGCCCGAGAAGCCGGGCTCTGGGTCCGCTGCCCCGGAACAAGGGCGCCCACGGGCGGGTCGTGTTCTGAAAGCCCGAAAGCGGTACAGGGGTGTCCTCATCGGTGACCTGTGGTCTGTCTCCAAAGAGCCACAGCCCCTGGGAGTCGAAATAGTCTTCTTTCCCTCCAACGGCCAGAGCAGGGAGGGGCGATACGTATGCCTTGTTACGTTTTCACGCTGACCGCCCCTCGTAGTCCCGAGCTACTTTGGAAATGGGTGCACACGTGGGCCCAGACGGCAGCCCGCGTGCACGGGGACCGTCAGAGCTAACTTAGCTGTGTCTCACTTGTTTTGCCCACGGTCGCTGTTTCCCGCTGGCTACTTGATTTAGTACAGGTTTCAAACTTGACATACGCCTGGCCTATGGCTTGTCTGTCTGTTTCACTTTTTCTGGAAAGAATGCTGTGCTCGATTTTGATAGAAAAAAAACTACCACCGTGCCTTTGCACTTGCCAGTAAAACACAGTTACCTTGCCGGCCTGTGGAGCGCCCTCGCTGGCATCACCTCCGGGCCGTCCCATCATCTTTGGTCTCGTGTCTGTTGCGTTCACATACGGAGTTTGTTTTGCCGCGTGCTAACTGGCGAATGTCTCTGCTTGTCCACAGAATTCAATCCGACACAACCTCTCTTTGAACCGCTACTTTATTAAAGTCCCTCGTTCCCAGGAGGAGCCTGGGAAGGGGTCTTTTTGGCGGATAGACCCCGCCTCAGAAGCGAAGCTCGTGGAACAGGCATTCCGGAAACGGAGGCAGAGGGGCGTCTCCTGCTTCCGCACCCCCTTCGGGCCGCTGTCGTCCAGGTAAGCCTCCGGGCTGCCCCTCGGTCAGAGGCCAGCTTCCACAGACGGCTCGTCATAGTAGCGTTTTGGGTACTTTAAACTTGTCACCTGTATTTCTCGAGCGAGACTGTCTTGAGGACCGGTGAGGTCTGTAACAGCAGAGTGAGTGGACAGCTCGCTGCCCCTCTGACCTGTCAGCTCTCAGCAGCCAACACTGTGACCGAAGTAGAAATTGGAACAATGGCGATGGTCACGTTGGTGAGGTCGGAATTCGGGATGTTTGAACGGAGCTCAGATTTTCCGGATCCCACGTTGCTTGGTAGGAACGTGGAGAGAAATTCTGTGAGAGTGACAAGGGTTAGTTTGTGGGGAGAGTACCACAGGCCCGGCCATGGAAACATCAGCCGCCCTTGTCCCACGCTTCCGCGGCCAGAGGCCACGGGGGCGGCCGGGCGCGTCCTCTCCTCCAGGCCTGTCCCGGCTTCCGGGACTTGCTGGCCACGACCGGTGCCCCCCAGGCTTGTGGGAGCATCACCCCAACCTCCGCCTGCATCATCCCGCCCTGTTCTCCCCGGGTGCGTGCGTCTAGAGTGCCCCTTTGAGGGCTCCGGTCACTGAGCTGGGGACCATCCTAGTGATTTCATCCAACTCCGTCACTTTCGTAAAGAGTTGACTCCAAGCAAGGCCCCCTTCTGAGGCACTGGTGGTTTCTGGGGACACAGTTCAAACCCTAGTGGTGACCAGCACTACGTTTCACTTGTAGATGAGCCTGTCTGCCAGCTGGGGCAGTGGTTACGGGGCTGGCCTTTTGCGCCCAGCACTGCCCGGAAACCCCGATAAGGAGTGTCTGTGGGAGGGCGTGGGGCGGGCCTGCCCCAGGGTCACCCTGGGAGTTAGGGACGCCATCTCGTGACGCGGCACAGGGGAGTGGCAGGCGGGAAACCCTCAGGCCGGGAGGGCAGCCCAGCACGGCTTCTGCGTGAGCTGTGTGTTACAGAGAGGGGGGCCTCTCGTGGCTGCAGAGCCCGGGTGGCCGAGGAGGGAGGCAGCTGGGTGGGAGGCGGGCAGGAAGCAGGGTGAGCTTGGTGCAGGGTAAGGTCCTGCTAGAGAGGGCTGACGACCGTCACAGCCTCGGGGACTGGGAGGGACCCAGGCCGACTACCAGTTGGAGCATGGGAATGAGCAGACAGGGTCCAGGCCTGGGTTGGAGTCAGACGAGCCAGCTGGCAGGTGGGAGAAGCAAGGGAGACTGGGGGCCCGGGGCGGGGGGACAGGGTGCCAGGTCCGTGCCCGGGGAGACCAGGGTGCCGCTCACGAGGGAGTTTATGGTGATAAATGAATGCAGAGTGAAGGCCACCGTGTCCCCCAGCTGCACCCAGGCAGTCCCGTCGTCCTGCCTCTGAGGGTTTGTGTTGACCCTGTGACTCAGCTCGCGGGACGAGAGTCCCCGTGCTGCATAGCCGGTCCTGGGCCAGCCTCACTGGCAGGAGCCGGACGGGATCGCCGTTTTGAACCAAGAGAACGGTGGCGGAGGGAGCAGCCTTTCCTGCGAGATGAATAGCCTGTAGGTGTGTCCTCTGTCCTGGTGGGGGCTTTGTGCCCATCCCAACAGAGCTCGTGATTTTAACACGGAACACTGAGCCACTTTTGCGGAAGCCTGGCGGGTCCCTTTCAGGAAGTCAATGCTCTGGAGCGTGGCTTTTGCTGGGAAGCCACGAATAACGTGGCGTCCTCCCGTTCGCTGGGTTCAGGGCCCGGTTGCCTTTCCGTGTATCGGACAGCATCGTTGTTGGTGTTGGAAACTCTCCGCAAGAACAGAAGAGCGTCAGGAAAAGCTGGCGCGGGTGACGTGTGAGACGCGGATGCGCCGACGTTCACATTCAGATGCCGTCTTCGTTCCTCGCCCCGCGTGCTTACCGCCGTGCTCCGTTCTCTCGTTGCTTCCGTAGGAGTGCTCCCGCCTCGCCCACCCACCCTGGGCTGATGTCCCCCCGCTCTAGCGGCCTGCAGACCCCAGAGTGCCTGTCTCGAGAGGGCTCGCCCGTTCCACACGACCCTGACTTCGGGTCAAAGTTAGCTTCTGTTCCAGAGTATCGGTATTCCCAAAGCGCACCCGGTAAGAGTGGTCTGGGGCCTTCACGCGACGTGGCGGAAGTGGGCCTCACGTGCGCAGGCTCAGCGGCCGCGCTCCTCCTCCGTGCAGGCTCTCCCGTCAGCGCCCAGCCGGTGATCATGACCGTGCCTCCCCGACCGCCCAGCCTGGTTGCCAAGCCCGTCGCCTACATGCCCGCGTCCATAGTGACGGCACAGCAGCCCTCCGGCCACGCCATCCACGTCGTGCAGCAGGCTCCCCCTGTCACCATGCTCAGGGTGGTCACCACGTCCGCCAGCTCCGCCAACGGGTACATCCTCGCCAGCCAGGCCTCGGCAGGAGCCGCCCACGAAGCGGCGGGCACAGCCGTGCTGGACCTGGGAAGCGAGACAAGAGGTGAGGCAGTCATGTGGTTCCCGGGCCGGGCTGGTGCCCGGAAGGTCGCCCGTCAGCCTGGGCTACGAGGCTGAAGGCCCGCGTGCTGGGGACACGCGCTCCCTCCGGGGGCCGAGGGTTCTCAGGCTGCTCCTCCTCGTCTCCCTGCTGCGGGTTTCTTGGGGAGCGTGTCCTTGTAAATCCGTGCTGTTTACCCTCCTCGGCGGTCGTGCCTTCGGGTGTACGTGACCCCGAGGAAACGGTGCGGGGCTGTGGGGCTTGAGGCCGTGGCCGGGGTCGGGGGGTGGGGGGAGCATTGCTCTGGGGCCCCCGGTGGGGAGTCCTTGGAAGTCGCTTAAAAACCGCTACAGGTTCCTACGGGAGGCATGTTGGGCCCAAGGAATAACGGGTGCTCGCGAAGGCAGCCCGTGGCATGGAAGATGCTGGCGGGAGCCTGACTCCGGGGCCTCCTTCTCGCGGCCCCCAGGCCTGTTGATCGCGTCATAACGACAAAGGCGTTTTGGGGAAGGAAGTCTGTGACTCCAGATGCAAACCTTTTCGTTCCAGATGATACCGTCTCTTCGTGTGTTTTTATGTTTCGGGTTGGTTAAAGTTCAGGCTCCGGCAGTGTTTTTCTAAAACCCTATTCATCGTTTTTCTCGTTTCAAATGTATTTCGTCGGTAGGATTTTTCTTTTGAGAAAAGTGTTTTCCCCAGCGCCGATGCCTTAAAGCCGCAGCCCAATCCCCCCGTAAACAGACTTCCTGCCGCGGCTCGCGTGGGCATGGGCGTGGGCCGCCGTGGCGGACCCGCGGGGTTCGCACACACTGTATTCCTGCAGGCCTGGAGGAGAAGCCCACCATCGCCTTCGCCACCATCCCCGCTGCTAGCCGCGTCATCCAGACGGTAGCCAGTCAGATGGCCCCGGGGGTCCCCGGCCACACGGTCACCATCCTGCAGCCAGCCACTCCGGTGACCATCGGGCAGCACCACCTACCGGTCCGGGCCGTCACTCAGAACGGGAAGCACGCGGTCCCCACCAACAGTTTAGCCGGCAGCACTTACGGTGAGGCCCTGCCCAGCCCCTGCCCCTCTGCGCCCGGTCGCTCTGCGCGGAGCGCCTGCCGTGCGAGAACGGTCGATCCCTCTGTGCCCTCGGCGCGGGGGGCTTGCCGGTCAGGCCGGGGCCAGCGCCCTGCCGAAGGCAGAGTCCTCACGGCCCAGCGCTCACACCCGTGGGGTCGGAAAATAGACGGAGGTGGGCGGCGAGTCCCGGCGGGAACTGAAGCAGGGGTGCAGCCGCAGGGAGGGGGCGGGGGCCCCGGGCGTCCGCAGAGATCAGCAAGAGGAGGGCCCCCAGGCGAGAGCAGGGTCAGGTCGGGGAGGGCGCGGCCCTCGAGGCCCAGCCGGCGAGGGGCCGGGATCCGGGTGCCCGCGTGGTCGGCCCGGCCCTCCCGCAGCGGCTCCCCGTGTGCCGCTCTCGGCCGTTCGCCAACGCGCACCTCTCTTTCCTCCGCTCCCAGCCCTCACCAGCCCCCTACAGCTCCTGGCGGCCCAGGCGAGCTCATCCACACCGGTGGTGGTCACGCGGGTGTGCGAGGTGGGGCCCGAGGAGCCGGCGGCGGCCGCGGCCACCACCGCCACCGCCCCGGCCACCGCTGCCTCCGCCGCCTCTTCCACCGGGGAGCCCGAGGTCAAAAGGTCGCGCGTAGAGGAGCCCAGTGGGACTGTGACCGCGCAGGCCGGGGTGATCACAGCCGCCGGCCCGCAGGGACCCGGAACCGGGGAGTGAAGACGCCTGCCTACGGGCCGAGTGGGACGCTCGCCATAAGGGATTCTGGAGCCAGGCCCTGACCGCCGACCCCCCTGCCGCTTGCGGACCGCGACAAGAAGGCTCCACGGTGACCTGCGCACGTGCCAAACGGACAGGACGGTCTCGGCCTCCACCCGCACCTGGACGCACTCGTCCTCCCTGTTCTGTCTCCTGCCCCTGCTGTGGTTTAAAACAAAACACATAAACAAGTTCAGACCGCTGATTGTATGATTCGGGAATTGTTTGTTTTTATTTCCTTCTCTCCTGCACCGTCTTCTCTCCTGGGCCCGTGGCCGAGGGCGTGGGGGACGAGGCCGCGGCCCGGCGCCTGGAGGAACGGATCACGGGCAGACTTAGCCGCGAGCAGAGGCGAGGCTGCCGGAGCACCCGTGGCCCCCGGAGGCCCAGACGGAGGAGGCCGTCGTGCGAGGGAGGGGACGGCAGCGGCACGGGTCCTCTCTGCAGCGGATTGGGAGAAAGGCAGGAGCGTCCCGTGGGGTTTTCTCCCTAAAGTAGCGACACAGAAAGCATTGGCATTAATCTGGGGTGCGGGGCTCAGGCTTGGCTTTCTTATTTTGTTGCAACGGTGGGATTCAGGCTTCGTCTCAAATCTGAGATCAACACGAAAGGAAGCAGGTGTCTGTGAGGTCTGTGTCTGTGGACAGCGTGACGGCCGTAGGCCTGGGCTTCTTACTGGCATTAATCCTGTGACGAGTCAGTCCTGCCGCTCTGTCTGCTAACTTCAAGAAAGATCGACGGCCTCCCAGACTGGCGTTCGGGGCGGAAAGCTGTGTGGGCGGGAGCGGCCGAGGGTCCTCGTCCAGAGGCCCCGAAACCGGGAATCGGCGAGCCCTGTGTCCTCCGCGGGCCCGAGGCCCCGGTGCCTGGATGCCATGGGACGCACAGTGCTGGCGGGCGCCTCTCGGATACCGTCAGCAAGTGGTGGTCGCTTTACCACCCGACACGTACCTCCTGCTGTAAGTCAGGCCGTATCCTGTGCCCGCAGTGCCGGGGCCACACCGCCCCTGTGCTCGGCTCTTGCTGCCTCCATCGGTCTTGCCTGCGACCTGGCCGCGTGACCAGCGAGTGACGCCAGGCTCCCCGGGACCGAGGCCCTGCACTCACAGACGCCCCGTGCCTCCTGGAGCCGTCACCACAGCCGGAGGTGAGGCCGCCGCACTCCTGGTTTATAGCCCAGTTTGGGGTCCACGTTCTAGCTCTTCAGCTCCTCTCGGAGAACATTCTCAGGAAACGTCAAGTGGTCTGTGAAAAGCGACTCTAAACTCGGCCGGCCGCCCCAGCACTGGTTTTTCTGACGGTGGACACCGGGCCCTGCACACAAGTCCAGTAGGAACAGTTTTTCTTCCTGGAAGTCACCTGTCCTCAGCATCGGTCTCCAACCAGCAAAGCTGCCTCCCCAGGCCCCCGCCCCAGCGGCAGCGACAGGGAGCGAGCTCGGCCCCTAAAGCCCCCGAGAGAAGGAGCGGGCCTAGTGGGCCAGGTCAGGCGCCAGCTCGGAGCGAAGGAGAAACCGCAGAACAGTCTCGAGGCCGTTCAGGCAAGACGGGCTTATGTGCCAAGCGTGGCCAGGCCGTGGCCGGGGCGGGCGGACGGGCTCTGTCTCACTGCCGTGGTCATCAGTCGCCGAGGACAAATACAGAGTGTCCTCCCGTCCGGCCTGTGACACCTGGTCCGACATTCTTCAAGCCCCAAACTGCTCGTGTCTGTGGCACCAACTTCAACTGGGAGAGAAGCTCTTCTGTGAAGTCCTCACCCACTGCCTCCGGTGACACTGGGGTGGAAGTGGCCGGGCGTGCCGTCCTCGGTGATGGGAAACCGCACTCTGTTCCACGTTGGCGATTTCTGTTTCATAAACTCTGTCCTTTGCCGCAGTGTCTGGTGTGTGCGTGAGAGGGCAGGTGGGGTGGTGGGTGTCGCACAGGCAGTCTGCCCCCTGCGAGGGCCTCACCTGGGAGGATCCGAACCCAGGGCCTGCCTTCAGGTCGGCTGTCAGGAGGTCCTGCCGAGGGGACTGTATCTGCTCACCGGCCGGCAGGACGGCCCCAGGTTTGCCCCCGTGGGAACGCTGGGCCGGCAGCCTGCACGGGACACGCAGGACAGTGTGGGCGCGGAAGAGCCTCGGGCCTTCGCCAGGTCTGGTGAGTCTGGCGCCGACCCTTTGCTTGCCCGGCTTTGGAGACGCTTTGGTTTCCGTTCGTTTTTGGTGATGACCCACCCCATGTTCGGGCAGTGGTTCCAGGAGAGGGAAGACGAGAGAGGGCAGGGTGTCCATTGGTGGGTTCTGCCTCGTGGGGAGCTCACGGGACTGAGAAGGGCAGGGCTAGGCCTTGGGGGAGCTGCCCGTCCGGGCTCACAGACGGTGGGCATCTGGGTGGGTTCACGGTCCTCCGACCCAAGAGCGGGCCTGCTGCCCACCCTTGGCCTGGGACTGGTGGCCGGAAGGCTGAGGGCAGCCTGCACCTGGGGACCAGATGCACCTTAGAGTGAAAAGGTCGTTCCGTGCCCCCGGAGCCGACCGAGTGATGGTCTCCCCCCCCCCCCCACACTGGAAGCAGGAGTGCCAGGCTATAAACGACCAAGGAACCGCGGCCCTCAGAATCTGGCCACGTGTGACCCGACACAGGTGTGGGTTGTAGAGGGTGGGCCAGCCCCCACCAGTTGGGGAGAAGCGGAAACAGCTCGATCCCGGCACCATCCTGGTGTCAGTGTGGTCTCAGGGGTCTCAGAACCTTCTCTTTGGTCACCCGGGGGCCCAGGTGCGTGTGAAGGGGGCGGCCAGGCAGGTGTGCGGGCTTTGGGAAGGGCCCGCCTCCCCTGCGTCGCGACACAGGGCACTCGGGCCCTCTCCCCCTGGCAACCGGCTTCCCTTCTGTCTGCTGCTTGACCTGTTGCCCCGTCGACCGGCACCAGATGCAGGAAAATACCCTCTCTGCACAGGAAGGAAGTCACAGAAGTAACTACTCAGTAGCTGAGCGTTTCCCACCTGGATGGTCTGGTGGGCAGTGGAAGGAAAAGGCCTGTACCCAGAGCTCACAGGCCGTGTCACGGGGCCCAGTGAGTGCCACGGTGCGGGGCGCAAAAGGCCACAGAGGCACGGCCCCTGCCACCGTAGCGTGGACCTCACGAGCGGTCCGCGTCTTTCTTGCCGCGGACGCTGTCCTGCGTGGTGCAAGGACAGGCTGAGGCAGAGCGTCAGGGGCTCCGGCAGACGTCCTTTTCCACCTTCTCTGTAAAGTCGTAAAGGTAACAGGGCTCACGTTCCCCGGTGAGGTTAGACACCTGCCAGAACCGCCCCCACCCCTGTCCTGGGACACAGCCCTCTCGGCCTCGGCCCACGCCCTGGGGACCGCAGGACCGATGGCCGGGTGCACTGAGCCCCGCGCTGGGGGGGGAACAGGTCCGCGTGCTTACAGCCGCTCCCGCCAACTCCCCGCTCTCGGTCCGGTGGGTTCACGTTCGAGGTTTGCGGTCTTCCTTTTGTTCTCTGTTTAACAGCCAGGCCAAATTGCGAAGGTGACGAGGGATTTCTGAGTCACTAAAATGACTATTCTGTGATTCTCGAGCTGGCGGGGTGGGGGTGCCGCCACGGCCGGGGGGTGGGGGCCCCGCTGCGCCCCGATGGGTTCAGCGGGGACCTCCTGGTCCCTTTCCTGCTCCTCACCGGGGCTGGCGGAAGACCAGTTTGGGGCTGTGGGCGTGATTCAATCAGTGTTCTCCTTTCCTCTGAGACTGGGTCTCCGTGGAGCATCCAGAGGGAGCGCACAAGGTCGCTCCATTCAGAGTTCAGGAGAAGGAGAAGGCGTGCCTTTGGCCTCGGGATCAGTTTCTTTACAGAGACAAAAAGAGGCCTCATTTGAAAAAAGATGCTTAGTTGAACGTGTAGTTGAACGTGAGAAAGCGTCAGGGAAGAAACGATGTTCCCCGAGCTCTTAGAGCCCAGAAGTGAGTCCCGTGGGTGTGTGTTTCTCCAAACGCCTCACATTCCGCTTTGCCCTCGAGCGACTGTGTGTGGGACGCAGGACCATCTCGGGGTCACACAGCGCCGCCCCCCGCGCCCCTGAGAGGCGGTAGCTCCCCCAGAAAAGGGGTCAGGGCAGCTGTGCGCACAGATGCTGAGGGGATCGTGAGCTGCTTATTTTAGGCACCGCGACTCTCTGCGGGTCCCAAGAGGCAGAGCTGCTAAGAGGAAGCCCGGCCACGTGGCCGCCAGTCCCCACTAGGCCCCCCGACCCACAGTCCCCACCAGGCCCCCCGACCCACAGCCCCACTGCTAGCTTGGCTTAAAGCAAAGAACGTCTCCTCCCAGCCCCCCGCAAGCCGCCTTTGTGATACCTCAGCCTCGAAGCAATATTTTCTGAGAAGAATGTAAGTTTGTCCGCGTGCCCGTGTGGGGCTGCCCTCCAGACGGGCCTCCACAGGGGTGGCCGCGCCCGCAGTCTTTTGCAGGGTGTCTGTCCCTCGTTTTCAGCTTGTTTTCCAGTTTTATACGGTCCTTTCCTTTTACGCATTCTGTCCCGAGGCCTCGCCTCCCGCGTTAGGTTTTAAATGCTCAGGACCTGGCCGGGTGGGTCCTCGGCAGCCCCAGGAGCTGGCCGAGGTCTCCACTGTTGTCCCTGGTGCCGGCTCCAGGACGGGACTTTGTGACGCAGCCACAGGCACGTTCTCCAAACTGAAATAACACAGGACCGCTTGCCCGGCTGCGTTTAAGGAAAATCGTTTTCCTCCTGCATTGAGCGAGGCCACCGCCTGTCCCGCAGAGTCCTCAGGGGCCCCAGGCCGTGTGGGGCCGTCTCTGCCAAGGCGCTCGGCAACCCCGGCTCGGCCCTGCGGCCACCTGGAGGTTCGCTCCACTACCTGCCTCTCCACCGTGTCCTAGGAGGTCCGCGCAGAGGCACCAGGGCCCCAGGAAGAAAATAGGGGTGCTGCCTGCGCCCGCTCCCCCCAGGAGGGGGGACACA